AAATTTAGGTGCGTCAATCATTTGATCCCATATTAAAAATTTTACACACGTGATCTGCACGACATCACGGCTGACTGATACAATAAAATCTTATTTAAAATTTTTTAAATGTATCTAAATCTACTGATATAATTTCATTTAACCATTATATATTGTTTCTTTTAAGTAATAATACTATAACAGCCTCAACCGGGCGGCGAAGCCGCCCACATCTGCATCCTCTAGTTGAATACAGAATTATGATACTTTCAAAGCATCTTCGCTGGCAAATAGTTTAAAAAAATTTTAGAAGAAGACTTTTAATTCGAAAAATTGCCAAACACTTAGGTGTTAATAAGTCTTCTACATGTCAGGTTCTCAAGCACTTTCAAAGATATTGAAAAACTTCCATCACTTTCAAGAAACCACATTTATTAAACACGAACGATAAAATTAATCGTATAACAATTTAAAAAGGTATACGTTCGACTTAGATATACGCATAAGAAAGTCTTTTTACTATATATATAGCGATATATATATATTTTTTATTTTTTATATTTATATCTAAGGCTTATTGGTTGACAAGAAACACCAAGCATGTTGGGCAGTATTCAAACGAAAATTTAAAAACATTGAATGTATTGATATTATAAAGATAAAGTCTATGATGAGGCTTAGGAATCCATTACATTCGCTTAACCTACCTATTTATTATATTCACTAATTTTCATTATGATGTTCGCCTAACCAATAGATCAGATTAGCTTGCATTACTAAAACTGAGCTAAATAACCAATTATCATAAGTCTTACAATAAATTTATATTGGAAAAAAACTTTCACTACATCCTAGTTTTGTTCCTGGTTTTGCATGACAACGTCGCGCAGCTATCTTATTTATATAGACAATTGACAACTAATTGAGAGGTAAATTACAGTCAATTATCGATATAATGAAGTATTTGATCTATTAATAAAAAATTTTTGAAAAATCTGTTATATAAATTTTTACTAATATATGTATAACAGATTTATAATAAATGTTTTAAATTTAAAATTTGTTATATTCCTTATACTTGTCCATCATATCGATGTTGATTGTAATCAAATTCTAATTTATGCTTTATTGCACTGCGCCATACATGGCCGGTAATTTATTGTAGAGGTTTGTATACAATTAGCAATAAAATATTTAGATTTTTAGATTTTTAATCCGGAGTAACATTGGTAGTAACCCTAGAATCTATAGACTATAAACCATTCTGTTAACTCTAGACTACAGATTATTATGTTTTTTTTTTTTACAATAACCGGAGTGGTGTGATATCTGAACCATGCTAGCATGAAATGGTTATATTCTAGCTTCGGAATATGATATTCCATTACACCCTAATACAGTCGGACCTCTCTAATTTCGCCATCTATATGCGCATATCCTCTCTAAATGCACTCTCAAATTCTGGTCAAATATATATATGCCCCTCTATAAATGCACTTTTTCTTATTATTCTCGCTGTTAATGTGTGGTTCCAAGAGCATGCACTTAGAGGTCTGACTGTATTTGCGCAATTGAAAAAGTGATCGAACTAAAGAGAAAAGAGGCACTAAAATTGTTTGATCTTGTCACTGTATTACTATATATTGTTGAACATAAATACAATTTCAGATTTCTCTTGAATTTATTAATAATCTTAACCTAACCATTAAAATATACAAAAATCGATTCTCTCATAGATGATTAAAATAAATATACATGTTATATTCTTTCTTCAAACAGACAATTTAAAGTATTGTAATCAATAAACCCTAAATTTATTTTGTAACAGTCTTGCACTCATCTATCCATTTTGAAACATTATTAATAATGCAATTCGTTTTTTGTAATTCATTTTCAAGCCATTCAATGTTTGCCTTTTCATGTTGTACTGCATTTTCAGTCGTTGATAACGAATCCAGGGCAAACTTAACATCATCATAATGTTTAAACCTAAAATAAAATAAATAATCAAAATTTTGAAGGTAAAAAGAACACATTGTTATGCTATACTGGTGCTAACAGACCTTAAATCATCCTCTAGGTTTATACAAGACTCTATTGTTTTTTCACCAGAAGTATTGGACTGGATTAATTTTTTTAATTTATTTTGAATTGTATCCATTTCATTTTGCATTTTCTCAAGTTTCACGATTAAATCAACTGCATCACCTTTCAAGAGCATAATATACTTGCGCACCACACTTTTTCCTTTTAGTTTCGTAGCAGCTTCCCAGTGCAATACATTGTTGCAAAAATTAGATATATCATTGTAAATCTTATCTAGAGTTGTATCTCGAACATACTTGCGGGACTTTTGCTTTCGAATGAGTACTGAGCGAAACCAATGTTGTATTATTTTGGCTTTTTCATCAGCATGAGGGGAATCGGTAATTTTTTGGAACCAAGCTTGAATTTCTTCAGCTGACTCCGGGTTATCTTCAGAGATTTTATTCTGATTATCCTCAACTTCATTGCAACTAGAAATAGCGTATGCAGCAGCCTTTCTTTCGCTAGCTACTGGAGATACGATTTTCCAAAGGGAAGACCTGAATTCTTCACTAGAATTATATTTGAGCATCTTGGCTCCATCCCTTGCAAGTTCAGCAAATCTAGATACGCCCTCTCCGCGGTAGTAGATGACGACTAAGGAATCGCAGCCTGTTTCACTAAGATCGTTAATTAGAGTTTTTACAAGCTGTCCCATACTGCGATTTTTCAGATATCTCTTGATCTTCTCAGAATGGGAAAACTTGAGACTCAAGCTTTTAAAAAGATTTATAAGAGTAGATTCGTAAATGGATTCATTATATCCAATAAGGATTAGTAGCCGTAATAACCGAAGGATAATCGGTGAATAATAGTTTTTAGTGAAATCCAACTTGCAGAGAAGCTGCTGAGATAAATCAAAAAAATCTCTAATTGCACTTTTATAGTCCTCTATGTTATATTCATTGTGGATATTATGGTTTGGAAGGAGAGGTCTTACATCAAATGCATAAAAATAATTGACCAAATAACTTTGAGGAAGGCAAAAATCGCAAAGTCTGGGACTAGCCGAAAAAACTAGTGAAATCGTGAATTCAATAAGGGATGTAAGATCACCAAGTGATTCTGGTGCGTCCATTAGGCAAACATCACGAATGTAGTCTATGGCATAGCGAATAAATACCGCCGCATGATTAATTGCATCTATCACCTTATTGAAATTAAGACAGGAGAAAAACGAATAAAGTTGTCTTCCTACTGAAACATCACAACGACGTTTTTGATCGTATTCAAAGCCAATTAATGGGGTTTTTTTCACCTCAAAACGTTTATTCACTACCCATCTGAATTTATTTAGACCCCATTTATGTCGTAGCTGTTGTAATACGAACATGCATTTTAACATGACCTCAAAGTCCTTGCCACTCTTGAATCCATCTTTAAGCCATACTTTATCAGCTACATTAAATAAATCATTACGCATATCGTTAAGACGATTGCGGATCACTATATAAGAGATCTCAGCACAACTTGTCTGTGGAGACTGATAACGGAAGAGATGGCCAACTAGCTTTTCAGCCCAATATCTCTGTCGACGAAGGACATTTTTACTTTGATCATCTCTAAGTATACGACGATGATATAATACAAGCATCTTTCTCATTACGGTATATTGTAGACATAAAAGCAACAGATGATTGTACAAAATCATTGGTGTTGGCTTTATGTGCCTATCTT